TGGCCTGCTGTGTTCATCCAGCTCTGCACCTTGTTGTCTCGGATTCTTGAGAAGGTGGTGGTGAGCTGCCTTCTTGAACCGCTGCAGTCCACCTGCTGTAGGTTGACCCACAATGCCATTAGGGAGAGAATTCCAGGATTTTGACCCAGTAACAGTGAAGGAACAGCGATACATTTCCAAGTCAGGATGGTGAGTGGCTTGGAAGGGAACTATTTCCCCAGTCTCATTCTCTAAGGGGCCTATGTTCACTTTGGCCTTTCTTTTCCTTTATATAAATTTGAAGAAGTTCTAATGTTCTTTTTTGTATTACTTGTGAGTTCGCATTCATGTGTTCTTCCTGGTGAAGATGGTGCTTCAACGAATCAGGGTCAAATGACCGAATCTGAAAGAACAAATTTCTGCTTGCTATGTCTTAAGAGAGCTCGCCACACAGAGGAAAACATCTCTTTCTTCCTGAACTAAATGTTTTGGGCTTGTTTCCAAATTAACACCAGTAACATTTGTACTGGTACACTGATAGCACAGCATTATGAGATTCAGCTTCTGCCAAAGTTCTGCAGCCTTTCCCTAATTCAAGTCTGAGCTAGATAGATTTTCAATTGATAAGGGAATCAAGTGTTAAGGGGTAAAGGCAGGAAAGTGGACTTGAGGATTATCAGATCAGCCATCATCTCATTGAATGGTAGAGCAGACTTGTTGGGCTGAATGGTCTACTTCTGCTCCTACATCATATGGTCTTATGGTAACGTCATTCTTCTTTTCGACATCCCGCTTTGGCTGAAGTCAATGGTGTACAGTCTCAGTGTTCTATCCAAGTTTGTGTCAAAGACCATATCCTACCCATTTCATAGATTCTACAGTCCGTCCCTTCCCTTCCACTGAAACCCTGACAATATTCTTTTGACCTCAGTATAAGATTTCATCAATGTTCTTTGAGACTCTGCCAAACTCCAACTTATCCTAAACTCTACACTTCCAATATCTGGGCCACACTGAGTTCCATCCACCTATTTTCCTTATTGTGACCGATTTCTATTGGTCCATTTTGAATTAGAAAGTATTGTCCCTCTGCAATGTGACGTCCGCAATGTGACAGGCAGTACCGGACCAAGTTAGAGGCCCAAACTAACTATATGGACTCCTGCTGCCTGTGGCAAGGCCTAAATAACATAATGGGATACAAAATGAAGCAGAGCAAGATAGCGGACAAAGACACATCCGTCCCTGATGCGCTCAATGCTTTCTACGCTCAGTTCAAGCAGAATGCCGGCAATGCAGTGTCACCTGCCCTGACAGCCCTGGCCGCACCTGCTCCCTCCATCACCGCTGCAAACGTTATATCGGTCTTCCTGGGAGTCCAACCAAGGAAAGCAGTGGGACTGGATGGAGTGCCCAGCCGTGCACTTAGATCCTATGCGGACCAGCTGGCGGAGGTATTCACTGACACCTTCAACCTCTCCCTCCTATAAGCCAAAGTCCCCAACTGCTTCAAGAAGACCACCATAGTCCCAGTACCTGAGAAAGCACAAGCAACATGCCTTAATGACTACCGCTCGGTGGCTCTGACCTCCACAATCATGAAGTGCTTCAAGAGGCTGGTCATAATCCACATCAACTCTAGGCTCCCAGCCTACCTCAATCCCCTGCAATTTGCCTACTGGCATAAGAGATCCACAGCAGATGCCATTTTCCTAGCCCTGTACTCACCCCTGGAACATCTGGACAATAAGGATACCCACATCGGATTCCTGCTCATTGACTACAGCTCCACCTTCAACACCACCATCCCCTCCAGACTGATCTCAAAACTCCAAGATCTAGGTCTCGGCTCCGCCCTCTGCAACTGGATCCTCAGCTTCCTGACCCATAGACCCCAATCAGTGAAGATAGATAACTGCACCTCCTCCACAATAAAACTCGCCACTGGAGCTCGCCCAAGGATGTGTTCTCAGTCCCCTCCTGTACACCCTGTACATCCATGACTGTGTAGCCAAATTCCTAATCAATGCCATCTACAAGTTTGCCAATGACACCACCATGGACAGATATAAAACAACAATGAGTCAGAAAGGAGATCGAGGGCTTAGTGAAGTGGTGCAATGTTAACAACTTCTCTCTCAATGTAGGCAGATCTAAAAAACTGATCATTGACTTCCATAAGAAAGGAGGAGAACAATCCCACATCCACATTAACGAAGCGGAGGTGGACAGAGTCAAGACTGTCAAGTTCCTAAGAGTGACGATACAACAACCTGTCCTGGACTTCCCACATAGATGCGAAGGTGAAGAAGACTCAACAACACCTCTTCTTCCTTAGGCAGCTCCAGAAATTTAGCATGTCCATAAGGTCCCTTACCAACTTTTACAAATGCACCATTGAAAGCATACTGTCCGAGTGCATAACTGCCTGGTATGGGAATTGCTCTGCCCAGGACTGTAAGAAACTAGAGAAGGTGGTATGCACAGCCCATACAATTATGGAAGCCAACCTCCCACCCTTGGACTCCATCTACCTGTCTCATTGCTGCAGAAAGGCTGTCAACATCATCAAATGCCCATCCCACCCCAGTAATTCTCTCCTACAACCTCTTCCATCAGGCAGAAGATACAGAAGCTTGAACACGCACGCCAACAAGTTCAAGAACAGCTTCTTCCCTGCTGTTATTAAGTTGATGAATGGACTTTGTAACTTCAAATAATGTTGATCTTGCCTTGCGCATGTCCTGTGCGGTGTAACCTGTATGCCTCACTATGTCCAAGTTCTTTTTCACTCTATGATCTGTATGTCCTTGTTTACCATGTTCTGCCTATACTGCCTGCAAACAAAGATTTTCACTGTACTTAGGCACATGTGACAATAAATCAAAACAAATCAAATCATGTACAAAATCCTCCCTAGCTTTGGCTCACTTGGCAACATCCCCCAGTCCCAAGTTCGAGTGCATATGCTCCATTCTTCTGTGTACCTTCCTTCCTACTCCACCCTCACTGATTATCAGCAGGGAGTACATGCCTATGCTCTGGAATTCTCTCCAAATAATTTTGCCACCTCTCTTCATCTGTAAAAGTTTCATCAGTTTGACCTTAGTCACTCAGTTATCTTTTCTTCCACTGTTCTTCAATTCTTTCTGTGTTGCACGTAATTTAACGAAATTCTGTAATTCTGTAATTTAACGAAAATTGGTATTTAAATACTAGGACTTGTTTAAGATCTAAAACAATTTCCAAAGGTAAAAGGATAGTGTTGCAATATCACTGCCATGAATAAACTGGTACTTCTTATATACGACCTATTGTACCTGCAATGTGAAGTAATGCCTGCAGTTTCTCGATGTTCCCTCGGCTTGCTTCACAATGTAGATCAGTCCATTTGTAGTTGTAGTTGGGTGCTGTTTGGTACTGCCGCCCCTGCAGTGTTCCTGGCTGGAATCTGGTGTTTTTTAGTTCAGTCCCAGACATGGAACTGATATAAAATCCCATTATGTTGTGTCTGTAAGGGAAAAAGAAACTAAGCATTCCATGGTATGAACCTCATAAAGGTAGTCTGTAGAACTACCTAGTAATCTGACAAGATACTTAGTGGGCAGCATGGCTGCTCTGTGGTTAGCAATGCTGCGTCACAGCGCCAGAGACCCAAGTTCGATTCCACTGCTGGGTGACTGTCCGTGTGGAGTTTGCACATTCTCCCTGTGTCTCGTGGGTTTCCTCCCACAGAGCAAAGATGTGCAGGGTAGGTGAATTGGCCATGCTAAATTGCCTTTAGTGTTCAGGGATGTGTAGATTAGGTGGTTTACAGGGGTATGGGTCTCAGTGGGATGTTCTGAGGGTCAGTGTGGGCTTGTTGGGCTGAAGGGCCTGTTTCCACACTATGGGGATACTATGATGATGATACCAATGAAAGTTTTCATAAATGGAAATAATGATATGTAAAATTCCACCAGTGGCCCACTGAGCAAATGCAATGTTGTACTAAGCTTTAGAAGCTGGGATCAAAAAGATTTCAAATGAGAGAGAGAGAGGCCATTTTACTGATTATATCTGGGCTATATTTCTGCAATACTTATCTACTCAATCTAATTTCTGTATATTTCCCTGATATCTTGAAATGTGTTTTTCATGTTATTGATTTTCCTTTTAATAGTGACAATGGCTTCTATTTCCAAGATTGTTTCTGGAAGAGCATTCCATATCCTAACAAACCTTGGCTTATCTCCTAACAAAGAAAGCCTAAATCTCTGCTGGGTTTGGTAATAGCATTGGAGAGCTATCACTTTGTGTCAGTTTCACCTGGTATATGGCTACCAACAAACCGCTGCCAGGAGCCAAGGAAAGCCCTGGCCAGGTATAATGAAAGCAAAACACTAGCATATGCCGGCGATTTGAAACAGACACAGAAACTGCTGGAGAAACTCAGCAGATCTGGCAGCAACTGTGGAGAAACAGAGTTAATATTTCAAGTCTGATATGGCTCTTCTCTAGAAATAAAATGGTGGATTTTATACTTTTGACAGAGGTGGAAGAGGAGAAAAGAGAAAATGTGGAAGTCCAGTATAAATAACAAAGGGATTACTAACTAGGGTGAAAGGTATCAAGATGTAAAGTTGGAATAAATTAAAATGTAAAGGACTGAAAATGCGCTCTTTTAATTGAAAGCAAGCTAAACAAGACACAAACAAGACAAACCAGTTGAGGGAGAGAGGTAAGAATTTAAAAGAAATGGAGGACAGACTGTATAAGGTCAGGTTCTGAATTTGTAGAATTTAATATTCAGGTTGTAAAGGGTCTAAACAGAAAATGATATGTTGTTCTTCGAGCCTGCATAGTGCCTCATTGGTACATTGCAACTGGCTCAAGGCAAAGAAGTTATCATGGGAGCAAGGGAGTTTTTGAAAGGGCATGGAACTGGGAGGACAAGATCATTCCTATGGACAAGGTAAACGTGTTCCACGAAGAGGTCACCCAGTGTTCGTTAGGTCTTGCTAATGTAAAGGAGACTACATTGTGAGCAACAAGTATTGTAGACTAGATTGAAAAAACTTTTACAAATAAAAAGTTGCTTCACCTGGAAGATGCGTTGGTGGTGGGAGGGAAGAGAGGAGGTGAATGGACAGGTGTTGCACCTCTGTGATGGCATGGGAAGGTGCTATGCGACAGTGAGGAAGTGTTAGGAGCAAGGGAGGAATAGGCCAGAACATCATGGAGGGAATGGTCCCTGCAGAATGCTGACTGTGGAGACATGGGGAAGATATGTTTGGTGCTGGCATCTTGCTGGATGAAGCAGAAGCGACAGAGGATGATCTTTTGAATGCGGAGATTAGTGGGTTGGAAAATGTGGACAAGTTGCTTTGGGAAGCGGCAAAGGGATGCGGACATAAGTGTGGAAAATGGGCTGCATACAGCTGAGGGCGTGTCTACCATAATGGAGTGTAATCCTCAGTTGAGGTCATGTCAGAGGCACCCCAGTGGAAAGAGGTATCATTGAGACAGAGACAGAGAAATTGGGAGAAAGGAATGGAATCCTTGCATGAAGCACGGTGTAAGGAGGTGTAGTCAAGATAATTATGGGAACTGGTGGGCTTGGAATGGATATTGGTGGACAGCCTATGCCCAGGAATGCAAAGTGAGAAGTGAGAAGAATGTGATTGAAGAGTTAGAGTTGGACCAGGTGAATCACTGGCCTGGGACACTTATTCTCCATCTTATCTCCTCTTTGACATGGGGTACCATACTGCAGAAGAGAGGTTTCACTTAAGTGAAGACCCGATGTAAATTTGAAGCCATGGCTAGAATCAAGATATCAGGGCTCCAAACTAATTTCTAAGCTTCTACCACATTTCTCTTGTTCCAAATCTTGGTAGAGTACCCTGGAAAGTTCACAGATTTTCAGACACAAAGACTAATTTCTCAATTTTGAAGATGTTTACATTCCCCTTTTAGGTTTTCTTGCATGGAAAATGGAATATTCTCAGTGATAAAATGGATAATTGACTTCTGTGGCTATCTACAGCCACTCACTGGGACAGGTACATAAAGGTAGGAGAAAGTACCTTTGCATTATAGTGTCAATCAGGTAGTTTCGAGAAGGTTTTGATTTGGTCAGACAAAAGACATGTCACTGATTAATTGTAAACATTAAGCTTCTGTATCATGCAAGCAAACCTCAGTGGTTCAGTGACTGGCTGTCATTCTTGAGGTGAACTGATCACTTTGCAACTGTGTTGGATCTGAAATGCTGCTACAATAAACTATGGGCCTTAATCCTAATTCCTGCACTGTCATATAATAGGCATCGAGCAATAACTTTCATACATGCAATGATTGGAAATGACCTACCAGCAATCCTTCATTTCTGCCATTGGAGCAGTGGCCTTCGAGTTAACGCCAGTGTTTGTGAAGCTACAAAATGATTTTTGTCCTGCCATGGAAGATTGGACTTCCCGGGCAAGTGAAGACTTTAAAATGGCCAACAGTTGTCTGTAAAAGATTACGAATTGATAATACAGTAAATTTATTTAAAAAGCACAAAGCAATTACTGATAAAAACATTCACTATATCAGATGAATGGCCAGTCATGAAGCATCTGTGACAACCAAAAGAAAGAATACAAATTTTGAACACCAAACCCATGAGTAATAAAGATGTGAACATTGAAATTTTTTCATTTGTAAGTTGGAAGTATAACAGAAAGATTTCTTTTAAAAAGTGTAAACATATTTTTCTCCCTACTTTTGCTACTATGCTTTCTCTTTTGAAGATGCTCACTCTTCATGTGTTTTGAGCAATGTGAAATATCTTATGCCAGTAGCCATTATTCATACCAAGTCCAAACAGTGTCTAAGTGTCACTAGGGTATGGTAGACAAGATCAATCACTTCTTGATTATGATTGTTACTAATTTTCAGAAATTATTAGATAACCAGTAGGTGCAGGAATGATGATATTCGCCTTCTGAGTCCAAAAAGATTGGAAATAAATGAAGGGCTCCTAATGTAACAGTGGGGAGTAATGACCAAAACAAACTGAGAATGAAGGCCTGCAGGTACGCGCAGCTTTAGTAATCATTGTCAGCTAAGCTACGGCAGTCTGTATATCTTATTTTGCATAGATAATTTAATTCTTATATATAATTTATCTAGGTTGAAATAAGAGGTTAACCTATGAGGTTACTGCTAATTTGTAAGGAGTTTGGCAACTAGTATTCATTGTCTGAGCTTGAAAAGGAGGGAGAGAGGGTGAAGGTGGGGAGATATCTGCACCTTCAATCCTACCGCACAAAAGCAGCTTTACGTCAGGACCCACATCACTGATATCATTTGTTGTTTTATTCATTGCATTTGCACGTTCTGCCAATAAATACAAGAAACAGAGTAGGAATAGCCATGTAGCCCATTAAGCCTTTTCCATCATCTAATATATCATTGGCTGATTTTTGCTTCAACTCCAATTCCTCACTCATTCCCTATACTGTCAGAATTCTGTCCATCTCAACTTTAAATATATTTAACAATGGAGTATTTCAAAATTTCTGGAGTATAAAACCTCAAAGACTCATAACCTCTGAGTGAAGAAATATCTCATTTTCATCCTAAATGATCAACTCCATACCCTTAGACCAAGACCTTGTGGTCTAGATTCCCCAATCAGGGAAACAACCTCTCAGTTTCAACCCTGTAAAGATCTTGCAGAAGCTGAAATGCTTCATTGAGATAACCTCTTATTCTTCAAAAGTCTGAAAAATATAGGCCTGATTTACTCACTCCCTAATCTTGGGACTGTCCTCTCTGCTTGAAGATTAATTATGTGAATTTTCACTGTAGCACAATAAATACAAATATATCATTACTTAAAAATGGAGACCAAAATTCAACATTCCATGTGTGGTCTCACTGAAGGCAATTGCATGAAGGCATCTTTATTCTCAGTCTCCATTCTCCTTGCGTTGAAGTCCAACATGTTACTTACCTTCCTAATTGCTTCCAGTACCTGGTAACTAACTTTGAGATCCTTGTACCAGTATACCCAAATCTCACTGTCATCCAAATGTCATACTGCCCCATATTATTGCTCTATCTGCCTCTTTGTTGCCTACACACTCAAAGTGTCTATATCTCTTTGCAGAGATAGTAGGAACTGCAGATACTGGAGAATCTGAGATAACAAGGTGTAGAACTGGATGAACACAGCAGGCCAAGCAGCATCAGAGGAGCAGGAAGGCTAACGTTTCGGGCCTAGACCCTTCTTCAGAAATTTCATCCAGCTCTACACCTTGTTATCTCTATATCTCTTTGCAGCTTCTTTTTGTTCTCTTCACAGCTTGCATCCCATCTAGCTTTCTATGAGCAGAGTGAACTTTGATACATTGCTCTGTCTCTTTGTCTAAATTGTAGATACCTGGGGCCCCAGGACTGATCCTTGTGGCATTCTGCTACTTAAAGCCTTCCAACTTGAAAAAGGCCTTGTTTATTCCTACCCTTTACTTCCTGTCCATTTACCAATCCTCCATTCATGCTAACATATTACCCTGATTCCATGAGCTCTTATCTTGTGGATTAACTTATTTTTATGGCACTCTATCTAATGCCTTTTGGAAATCCAAGTATACTCCACTTCCTGTTTTCCCTCTCTTTACCCGATAGTAACATTTTCAAAAAAAAACACGCCAAGTAAAACTTGACAAATGCAATTTCCCGTTTTTAATACCACGTTGATTCTGCTGGTTTTACCATTGCCTCAGTTAGACTGCATTAAATAGCCCTCCAATTTTTCTGGAGCGTGCATGAATTTCCCCCATCACAGATAGTGACGGAAGGAAAGAGGCCAGATAGGTACCAGCAAGAGGGGCTGCAAGATTCCGCAAGAACCCTCCTGCATTGCACATACCCACGAATTATTGCATTCAAGCCCCGGGCCCCGTTGGTTCTTCCTCCGCTTCCACCGGGAGCGAACGGGTCTTGCAATGGGTTAGCTCAGCCCCAGAGCTCCAAACTCACGGTTAAAACCCTATCTGGCAGAGGATATCGATTCTCAGGCAATTAACCTGAGCGCTGTCCGCGGTGCTGAACACTGGCCTCTCTTCTACTGTTGTCCCTCCCTCCAAGTAAAGACGTGCGCGTCCCGGCCAGCACAATGTATGCGTGCCCGTTCTCAAGAGCCACTAGTTCAGTCCCATCTCTCTTCAGATTGCAAAATCTTGCTCCACAACAATACTCTGCAATTCGTTTCTTCATTTGTATAGAAAACATTTATCTTCAATGTATTTTAACTTTTGTTTTCTTAATCATCCCACGGTTGTTCCAAATTGAAAGTGCCCTGCTGTAATACAGGAGGCAACAAAGCATCAAGGGGTTTTGTAGTACAGTGGTCATTTCCCTACCTCTGAGGCAGAAGGCCTGGGTTCACGTGTCATAACATGTTTGGACAGGTTGTTTCTTTTTAAGAAAAGGATGCAATAAAATTCAGTCAAAGCTCCTCCAAACGTGATTGGTACCCCATATACTCAACTGCAAAGTTTACATTAATAAAAAATCTTCAAACAAAAGTAAAATGCCGCAGATGCTGGAAATCGAAGTAAAAACAGGTTGGAGAAGGGTGACCTAGATGCAAAACATTAACTCTGTTTTCTCTTGTGGGTCAGGTGGGCAGCAGCAGAAATGGTTTTGAGACTGTAGCTCTTAATCTATCAAGGATGCTGGGAATTTTGATCAAGCTAGTTTAAACTCTGGCCCCAGTTAAAACTACAGCCAGGACATGTCGTGACCTGCAGCTTTGTGTTGACCAAAGAAGGCATGCGTCATGGTGGTCTACAGCTATATTAGCATCACTCATACTCCATATAACGTAGTAAAACATTTGGGTGTTGTTTACCAGTAAATGCTAATGGCTGGGATTAGGCTTTGATCAATTCATTGGCTGGGTGCCAAAGATCTCTATGGAAACAGAACATATTTTCGGCTAATTTAACAGACCAGAGATTTTCTGAGATGAAGCCGCCCAGAGCGCCTCGGAGGAACACATGCTCTAAAGGAACTTTCAGAGAGGACATGCACAGATAACAAAGTAGGCCACTTCACTCAAAATTGGTGGTAGTATTTTATTCAAGCCAAACTTATGGAGTTAAAGTAAGAGTTAGAGTTAAATGTGGATTAAGCTAAGTTAAATAAAGTGAGTTAATGTTGAAGTTAAGTTAGATGACGTGAGAAATAAATGCTGCAATAAATGTTTTACATTATTTAATCCTTTACGTACCAACACTTAAAGGGTTTGTTTAATTAAATTCAGTTCCCTGCCTTTTGCCTATCACACAAGGAAATACCTGGGTAAAAGTTTTGAGTACTCCTTTTTGGGCAGCACCCTCCATGGATGCTGCAAGACCTGTTGAGTTTCTCCAGCCATTCTGTTCCTGTTTCAAAATTCCAGCATGCACAGTGCTTTGTTTGAATAAGTGCTGGAAAAACTCCATTGTTGGAGAAATCAGTTTCGAAGAACTGTTGGACTAGAAAATGTTAACTCTGCTTCTCTCCCCAAAGATGCTGCCAGACCTGCTGAGTTTCTCCAACATTGTCAGTTTCTTATCTCAAATTAAACCTTACCTAAGAGAGAGTCAATATTTTAAAAAGGACATAATTGTAAAAGAAAAGCATTTGTAGATCATTGCAATTAGAAACATCACAGAATTTGATGGATGGTATTTGAGGTGTGATTCAATAGAAAACATAGCAAACAAAGTCAAAAAGAAGATTTCCACTCAGTCTACTGGACACAATAAATTCTACTATAAGTAAAAATGTACTGGATATGCTTGGCAAGTCTGGCAGCATCTGTGACAAGAGAAACAATTAGAATTTAACCAAATGAGACTTCTTCAGAAACAATAACAAAAATTATTGGAAAGGCACAGCAGGTCTGGCAGCATCTATGGAGAGAAATCAGAGTTAATGTTTCAGGTTCAGTGACACTTTCTCAGAACTGATGGAGGCTAGGAAAATGTTTTTATACAGAAGACAGGGTAGGGGGGAGGGATTAAGGAGTAAACAGAAGTTGGAGATACACCCCAAAAGAGAAAACAATTGGACAGACAAAAGGAGTGGATAATGATCAGTGTGGAGCTGGAGGAGCACAGCAGGCCAGGCAGCATCAGAGGAGGAGGAAAGTTAACATTTCAGATCAGGACCCTTCTTCAGAAGTGGGGCTGTTCCGAGGAAGGGTCACTGGACCTGAAATCTTAACTGATTTCTTTTCTTCAGATGCTGTTGGACCTGCTGAGCTTTTCCAGCAACTTCTGTTTTTGCGTACGTGATAACAAAGACCTGGTGTCTGGGAGGTTGAGGTAAGGACATGGGAAAAGGTGCCCCAAGCCCTACAATTGTTGAACTCTATGACTTCTTCAGAACTAGCTTCTTACCTAATGTTTATTAAAGCAAGGGGTGTATACATTGCAGGTCTAGAGACGAGAGTCATAAAGCACGGAAACAGACCCTTCGGTCCAACCAATCTATGCTAAACATATACCCAAACTAAACTAGTCCCACCTACCTGTGATTAGTCCATATCCCTCCAAACATTTCTTATTCATGTACTTATCTAAATGTCTTTTAAACATTATGACTGTACCCACATCCACCACTTCATCTGGAAGTTCATTCCACACACGAACCACTGTGTAAAAAAAAAGTCCCTCATCATTTTTAAATCTCTCTCCTTTCACCTTAAAAACGTGTCCCCTCATCTTGAATATCCCCCAGCCTAGGGAAAAGACACCTATCATTAACCCTATGAAGGCACCTCATGATTTAATCCCATTGAATAGTTGAGTGGGCTCAAAGGGCTGAGTGGCCTACTCCTATTCAGGTTGGTATTAATGTAACCCATAATATTTTCAGTTAAACATGTGGAATTAGTTCACAGGAATACAAATTGAAACTGCAAACAATTGAGTCTGCGAACTAACAAACTAGGTCAGTGAGCAAACCAACCACAGCAGCCTACACATGACTCTAGACTCATGGCAATGCATATAACTCAACTGGCTAAGCAAGCCACTCAGATCAACAACAATTAGATTTGGGCAACAAACATTTGTCTTGCTCGTGTAGCCCACATCCAACAAAATAAAGAAAAGATAGTTCTGCTTATTTTTTCAACAGGATTTCCATTTGCTATGTTACATTTGACTAGAATCTTTAACTCTGCTTCTGTCCACAAAACTTGTTGCGCCGAAGTGCCTGTTTCCACAACGTAGGGATTCTATGTAAATACTACCTGAAGTACTGAGTATTTCCAGCACTATTTTCTATCGCAGATTGGGCACCTGCAGTATTGTGCTTTTAGAATAAACTTACACTTCAGTTTCCTACGCATTACATCGTCAAACCTATTTGTCTCTTCCTATTACTCTCAATAAGTTGTAACATTAGACACAGATAACAATACTGCAAACATTTTTAGAACTGTGTTTAGATCAGAGAGGGAAAAACACAGATACCTAACTTCCTAAATTCAAGTTGCAGTTTTAATATTTTGAAAATGGAGGACAGAACACACTGGCTAGTTCTGCTCAAAAGAAGGCACCAGCATTAAAACATTATCCATACTTGAAATAGCCCATTCTCATTATGTACAAAATATATCTTTTAGAAAATATGTTGCTGTAAGCTGTGAGGAGCTTTATCTGGGAATGTTGCTGGCTGTAGTGTGGAATTAAAGGATGCTCTCGAAAATGAAAAATGACACTTCGGCAGTTTTAAAATATTTTATTACCTGCAATTTGTATGTTTTCTTTAATAAACAGATTAAGGTAAGAAGCTAGTCAATTTGGTTATTTACAGATATTACATTGGTGATTTACTAAAAATTAACAGTCTTTCTGTGCTCATTGCAGAGCCAGCTCTACACATTATTTTACACTAGGTGGTAAAACATTTCATTTTAATTTCCTTCAGTATATAAATACATAACTGTTACTATATACAACTGCAAGTCAGTGCGATTCAGCAACCAAGATTTCCAGTAGAGATCAAGTGGTAATAGGCAGATGCAAATACCAGAAAATATTAGTGCAGATACTGCACTAGTGAGGGAGTCAGACAAAGTGTGCAGAGATTTATTTTCAGGGTAGGGAGAACGATCAAAATGAGATCACACTACTCTGTCCCAAAGGATCTAATATCCATGTGGTGTTCATAAATACAGATTTTACTGAGGTACCCAGTTACGATCTGCAGGTTCCAAATCCCATACTATAATCAAAGGAACAAATGTTACTCCAAGTCTACCAGAAATCTGACCAACAAGCCTTAATTCCTACGCACAATGATCACAAACATAGATCCTATTATTGACCTCCCACAGCTGAAACAAGGGGCTCCTTTCCACCACTGTTTTATGGAAAAATAAAAAGACTCCTGCCAACCCTGATGTGAAGACCCTATATTTCATTCCATTTTCCAAGAAAAGTTGTAATGACAATAGGGTTTACTAGATCCAAACTGATGAGTACTGGTCACAAAATGTATGTCAGACAACACTACAACAGTCACTGCATGTCAAAGGTACTTCATTGACTGTTGATTGTTTTGGACGGTCTTCTGAGATGAAAAATACTACACAAAGCAAATACTTTCTTGGCATATATTTCATGTTATTGGTTGGTTACTTGGCCTCTTCAGAAATGCTACCCTGAAAACTCAGTCATCCATTAATGAACTTACTCATGAGAGAGGTCAAGGAGGTTTCATGGCATTCTATTGGCATTACTGCAGAAAAAAAGACACAAATAGGTACAGAAGAAACATTTGGGTTCACTGAATAGCTTGAGAGTACAACTAGAAATATTTTCATTCTCTTTAGAAAAAGCAGTGCCAATATAAATGTTGTGGAATATCCCTGTATACAAAGATGGTTATCCTGCACTGGTCTTTAAAATGGCATCCCATGTGCTGCAGTACAGCAATTCAATCTAAAGAGGAGTGCCCAAGAGAAGTTCACTGTGATTAAAATCATTGAGCCAATAAAGGTTAGTTTGTTCCAAGTCCCACACCAATTAAAGTCCTATATCATGAAGTATATTTGCTCCAAGTTATTTTAATATTAACAGTTTGGTGAATAACTTTTAATTTTATTCACAGCCTGCTTGCAACTGGTTAGCCTCAAAATATGGGGAACCATACAGAAAATAGTTGAACTTCTGCACTAAAATCCAATGCTAGGATCGGTTTTGGTTCAGACTAAAGAGAAAGAAAATTTCACATTCTTGGTGTTCTGTTAAGGTGTTACAGAATACTAAGACAATAACTACCAGCTCACATTACTTCATTTATTTATAGTTATTCCCAAGATGTTCTATCAGTTCCTCCCATTGATAACTTTGTTGGAACCATTTATCAGCAGCAAATCATGCAGAGAACAAAACGGAAAGCCTCAGAGATCTATAATGGTTTTGATTAGCTGAGGGAGCGCTGCAAAGTATCTCTTGGCTCCATAGCCAGGCTCTGTTCTTTTTTTCCCCCCATAAAATTTTATTGTTAAATTGATGCATACATATCACCTGAAAAGGTAGCCCTGAGAACTTGCGCCCCCCCAACCCCTCAAAGTAAATAAATTGCTCTTGATCATATCAAACATTTACAACACAAATTATGAAGTAATAAACAAGGTTTGGGCAGATAGAGAGGGAGGAAGACTGATATTAACTTTAAAAAGGGAGGAGTTTTGGATGTTAATTGAAATTCTAGATTTTTCCATCCCTATCATGGTATCCTGGTATTGCAAGTTTATAAAGAATTTGAGCTTAATCTCTAAGTGTCATCCTATTGCTTCCTAATCAGAGCTCTGTTTATCAGAGCCATGGAAATTAAAAACATTTTAAAACTGAGCTGCAAAATACAACATTTATAAATTCTAATATGAAAGTCAATAAAAGAGAAGTTTAGGCAAAGGATCCTCAAAGTGTGGTTGGGATAACAAACGGGGTTGTGACAGCTGACATTTTGGGACCATGCATTCTGAGGCAGTAAGGGTTGAAGCCCCAGCCCCTGCTGCCATAGGTCTTCCAACACCCCGGAAGCTGCGCTCAGTTCTCATTAAGGAGTCGGAACAATGTTCAAACCTGAAAATGGGATCACAGTGAGAAAAAGTTTGGGAAACATTTGTTTAGATATAATTTTAAACAAAAATGCCAACAGTTATTATAGATCAGCAGTGAACAAACTTTTAAAATACAGGATAGCACTGGAGATAATTAAATTGCCGGAGTTGCCAGATGTATGGCAGCACATAGAACACAATCAACTTGCTGCCTCAATGAAACAAAAAATGATGCAAGTTATTCCTCCTCTAAAATGTTATATCATGATGCAGTAGACTGAGTTTGTTTACATATTTCCTGTTAATCCGAGGAGAACAGAATAAGGAGATTCACAGAATTGTTACAATGCAGAAGGAGGCCATTCACCTGCACTGGCTCTCCAAACAAGAATTAGTTGAAGATTAATTCACTTCATCCCATTCCCCTGCCATCTAGAAAACTGCAATACTGCACATTCTTTCTTTTCAGATCATGCAATTCTCTTCTGAATACTTCAACTAAACCTGCAGCCACTAAACTTAAGCCTCCCTGCTTGAAAAGGGATTTTCTCTCATTGCTTTTGCCTTTTTTAACCAATTATTTGAAATCTTTGCCCTATCGTTCTTGATCCCTTCATGAGTGGGAACAGTTTCTCCCACTCTGTCCGGACTCATGATTTTGAATACTTCTGTCAAATCTCCTCTCAACCTTCTTTTCTCTCCCCACTCGCCCCAGAACACAGAGGAAAACTATCCTCACTTATTTTATCTCCAACTGAAATTCCTCATCCCTGGAACCATTCTGGTGAAGCTTTCCTACAGCTTAATGCCTTCACACCCTTTCTAAAGTGTGGATCCCAGAAATGAATGCAATACACTAGCTGAAGCAGAGATGGAGAATAGAATAAGAGATAAAGTGGAAATCAGTAAGGCTGTTTTTCTATTTCTCAGACCTAGGCTCTAGAGTAGGCAATAGAGTTCCTATCAACAAGTCTTGTCTCGAGAATGAAGTGCTATGAAAATTGAGAATCGTGTTTAAACAGCAATAAAATCAAACTGCATTTGAAGATAAATCACAAACAGTAATTATGGCTCTCCAATAAAAAAAAGACAAAAATCAAGGCAATACTATTTTTCTAGAATCATTTGTTTTGAAAGTAATCTTTTCTCCCACTGACATGCATTTTTGGCAGTTTTGCTACAATGAATGCGCTGATAGTGACTGAAAGCTTTAATTAGCTTGGATGTACATAAAGATCTGGTCATCCAAATTATAATAATCCATTGTCAGCACGATTCCATTAAATATACCAGGTTTCCATACATTCAGCAGTGACCAGCCCGTTAATGAGCAAAAAAGCTGAGGCAGTACAATTGTAGCATGCTCAGTAGCATATTAAGAACCTCCCTGAATAAATAAGATCATCACAGCTATGTTGTGACTAGGAAATTTAGATCACAAATGTACTTGATTTTTAGACATGTTTATTGATTTCAATTGTTTTTCTACTGGTCTCCATGTGAGTCATAACCTTCTTCCTCCAACCAGCCCCAAACCCCATCATTACAAGATTATTCTCATCACTACAATTAAGAGACATATACAGCAGGCAAAGTGCTGATGGAGACACAGGTTTGATTAAGACCCAATCAATGCACGTGGTATCCACCTTTATGGTGTTACGATATCCTAATGTTTCTACTGATATTTCTGATCTGTATATCAACCACAGTAACATCAATGCTCTTAGAAACAGAACACTACAAAATTGAGATCTGCTAATCTCTATATAAACTTGGAAGATATGTCAATTTCTTGATTCTAACTTGAGAAATAAACCTAATAATTTGTTAATTTTGCAGCAGAAATGTGAAAATTAGGTGTCTAGATGGATATCTATTTAGAAATTGTCCAAACCAGCAAAAAAATGTCATTTTATTTGATATTTTTGAAGTTGAATGGGAATTTGCATTCTTCACCATGAGGGTAAATGGTATACATCACTCTCAGGTAAAGTGTTGAATTAGAATTTCAAACAATATTTGCGCTCTCTGGGAACATTTCCCAAGTTGTTGATTGAGCCATTGTATGGAGCTCCCCAGTATTTGTTGCTGTTTTAAGTATGGCTTGTTGGTATTGTGGATCCTTTAAAATGTTAATAATTTGGGCTTTGGAAGACACCTAAGTGCTATTTCATGATTAGTATGTAATCAAGAACTTCAAAAAACACAAAAGAACAAAAATTATCAGTGTCCTCATTTAACCAGGCTATGCCTGCTAATTAAATAAATACACTATTGTTTAAAAACAAAAAGGGATTTTATAAATGTTTTGAACGTGAGCTTTTCTTTAAGAAAAAGCATCTATTTCAGTGGTTTAGTCACAAATACAATCATCAGATTGCTGAAAACTTCACCCAAAACGCCTCTGGTGTTATTACTGCTTCCTGTTCAAGTAAGATTTTCAGGTGACAAAGTGACCAATAGTAATTAGCTTGTGCGTTATCATCTTCTTCCGTAAAATTTGCAACATGTTGTTTGGACTGACATCAAAGCCCTTTACTTTTACATTCCAAACATGTAGGATGGAATGTTATATTCCAGGTTTTCTAAGAGTGGACCTCTTGATGCTTTTTGAAATGTTTTAACAAAGTCGAGTTGCTGCCTCCTCGTTTATCTGATAAAAACAATGCAGCAGAGAAACCTGCTACTATCAACAAAATTTCCCATTGAAGACAGATCTTCCAGGCAAACAAATACCATTGCAGCCATATTGAGGTGTGCAGCTGCGTCTTAATGACATGGGTCCAATAATATAAGAGACATTTCTAAGCAGTCGTGACAAAAATCTGTATAAAGTTTTATTGTGGATCAGACATTTGCACTGAACATCATCTATATGTATGTGAATTGAGATGATATAAAAAGATTAGAATTAAATACAACTCTGAATTCCAAGATCAAAATTGAAATCCTGTCTCAGACTGTACCGTAAAAGAATGTTACTGCACACACCCCAATATGGAAGAACAATTGTGATCCTTCTCTTCAAGGGAATAATGTTTGAAGACATCTGATACTCTGCTTTGAGACCATCATTTTCACACAGTGGACATCATTCTGGAAGATTTTGTTTCCCTCTAGAGGGATAACACTGCTGTTACAATACTGGATGTGTAAGCATATTATTTCAGACTTTATAATAAATTAAAATGATAATGAAGCCTACTTTGAAACAGGTTACCATTGTTATGGGGTAAGTCAATATTTAAAATAAATCACTTCATTCTAAGCCCCACAAACTAAACATATGCCAACCCCCCAGTAAGACCAGTAGATCCTCTGTATTTCCTAACAATTACTCAATTCTGTCTGTCGGATGTTTGAACTTCAGAAGGCATCACAACATTTGAAATTAAAATATTTTTAAAAAAAACATTCCAAATGGTCCAGGGATCGCAAGATCTAACTTCTGATGGCCACATGGTTCAAGTGACATCTGTCACTTCATACGATGGATGTTAAAGTTACTCCCTCCTTCAAAAAATAAACAGGCCCCTGGTCGTCTACAATGGGTCAGGATGGACATTAAAGAGTTGCACGTAATCAAAAGGGTAACAGCAGCATAATGGGAAACTATGAATAAACTGACAATTTACAAAAGATCGTTCTTTCGTTTATCTTTGCAGATCAGGAAATTTGAAGACATTAACAATGTTTCTGATATTGATTGGTCCTTTGGAAATAATTTTTAATCAAAAAATAAAATGAGTGACAGCCTCAAAGCTGCTCAACAATCCCAGGTTATTTGCTACTAGGATCTCAAACTCCCATAGAATGGATTTGCACCAGTCTTAGCTGGGTGGCGTGACTTTGAATCAATTGGCTCTATTCACAGCTTTTCATCAATGGCTGGACACAAAACACAATGGCAAAAATTAAATAATATTCTGGAGCAGTGATGTAAAATGAGATATCAAGTAAAATAAGAATCTCCTTTCCTATCAAGGGGCCCATCACCATCACAGGGTATTTAAAGGACTAGACAGTAGAAAGCAACATATTTGCGGGTTGTTGCCAGAGTTTGAGGAAGCAGAATGGTCTGTTGAAAGATATTGCTATATGTGACAGACATGAACATTTAAACCTGTTATGGAATGATATTAATGTGCTTTGAGGCAGTGACATAGTTCCAAACGGTGACATAGTTCTAAACATTCACCTCCAAATGGCTTAATTCCCTCTCAGGGCTTTTCAAACTCACCAAGTGCCACATGACAATCCTACTTCTCCACACTCTCCAAACCTACCAATAACAGGACCTTTTTGAACTTGGCCTTCTGCTCAGGAACTGAGTGCTTGACTGGACCTTTAACAGTCAATTTCCTGTGTATAGTGCTTGCTGTCGACCATCCTATATTTATTGAAACCAAGCACCTAATTAACTCAGTCCGACACCACTTAGTGTATAGACTCTTCAATGCCTTAGTATCTGTGCCATTTCCCAATCTCACTTTGCAGCTTCCAACGTAGAACAGTAATACCTCTCTCATAGGATTAGTTTAAAAAAAATTAAATCTCTCTTGTGGAAAAAATATTAACATCATTTGTCCATTGATACGCTGACTCTTTAGACTTTTCATGGTTTGTGATGTTTTCTAAGTTGTTTAATAGTCTACAATATGAACACTCCCAAAAGAGAGCTTGAAGCAAGTGGAAATGGCCTAGGAGCGGGAAAAGAGGCTCTTTTCAATGTTTTGCAAAACTGATGCATCATAGGAGTTTGCTTTCCTTCATTCCCACAGCTGAAGTAATAGAGGAAGCATGGTTCCATAAGGCACTCCTGCATTCAGCAAGCTCTGTTCACTGATCATAGTGTCTCATCGCTCCTTTGTTTGCACCAATGCAAAGATGCCTCAACTCTTCCTTCGAATCATTCTCAGTAGTTCCTCCTGTCACAAGTCTGTGACCTTGTTTTCCACAGATGCAGCAATCTGCTGTAACCGGTAACCGAGCTGCATCTTCTGTGCTGTTGGATCCTCTTCTAGTGCTGTAATGATCTAAAGACAGACGAGAAGTGAAAACAGTTATTCAGCTGTCAGGTTAAAACTCGGGTAGTCTAATGTTGTTAGGATTATGCAGGAGATGCAGTACCCTTCTCCCTTCCCAATATAGATACTCTCGTTGGAAAATCTGTTTAATCCATGTGGACAGCTATTCTGTCAAGTCCTTGTTGACCACAGTCCATCTGCATACTATGTTTTGGAATACACATGCATCAAACTTTGCAACAGATATTGAGTCTTTACTGATCGTTGCTCAAACAGTAAACACATATGTTATTTAGTCTCCACCTGGGCAGTTTTTCAAGTTGACAGACACAAGCCTGACTGCACACATCCAGATCCTCCGGCAGACTAAATCAAGTCTGTACACACAATCTTCAGAAGTCAGTATATGCAGCCCATATAGATTACCAAGCTCATCTTTAGGGACATGCTAACCAACTCCAATCCATCTCCAGTCCTTGCTTTTCATCTGTAGACTCTCTCAGACCATCCACATTAACGTTATCTCAGAGTGCCACGATTCGGGCTTTATTTTCCTTTCTAGAATATGGCGTGTCAAACAGCATTATAGATGTGATGAGCTTCTTTTTTATATCCTAACCATGGTAGCTACTTTACCAAGCCTGATGAATTTTCGATATACAATCAATGAATAAATTCTGTTATCAAACTCTGGCCAATTAGATCATTTTCATTGTGGATTCCATAAACGATACTGTCTCAGTTTGGTCAATTCAGAAAGTCAGATATGGAATATAACCCAATTTACCGCCAACACACAATTCAGGGAAGACTAGCTGGAATTGTAAACCCCTACTTGTAATTACATAGGAAAGGGACTTAAATTCAATGCTTGGGACACGTTGAAAGCAAACATCCCTGATCCTAGAGATAGTAGGAACTGCAGATGCTGGAGAATCTGAGATAACAAGGCGCAGAGCTGGATGAACACAGCAGGCCAAGCAGCACCAGCGGAGCAGGAAAGCTTCTAGGGTCTAGGCCCGAAATGCCGGCTTTCCTGCTCCTCTGGTGCTGCTTGGCTTGCTGTGTTCATCCAGCTCTGCACCTTGTTGTCCCTGATCCTAGTCTTGGCACAGAACCTTGCCTGTACCTACATGCCTGGTCTCCATACCTGGTCATAGTATTTGTTGATGTATTTATAGAGTTCATGAAGAGCCACGAGAGAGTTCATGTCACTGGAGTAATTCTGTAAAAGAGAAGGACAGCGACTATAAAAGGAATCACCAACGGGGGTTACTGTTTTTCGAAAACAAAGAAAAAAAAAAATCATCTTCTTCCTGAATCATCTCAGTGTAAAGAGGTGCTGCACATCAATCAATTTTCAAACCTGGGTGAACTGAAGAATGTTTATTGCAGTTGCCTGATTCGTTAAGAATCCCATTCTACTTCCAAACACTTACCCTGGACAGCTCAGCTAAAGCAGAGTTCATTTCCTGGTCACTAGCTGAGATTGTCTGCCGAATGTCTGCATAGTACCTGTCAGAAAGAGCAGGGTCCAGTCAATTCTGGCTGATAACATACACCATCCTAAATACCTAAATTGTAGAAATTAGCTTCTGAATGAAAGCAGCTTCACATTTCATGCAGATACGCTCCAGGGGGATATTTTTCAAAACTCTACACCCAACACATTTTTTCCAACCTTTTTGCAGATACTGATCAGCTTGCCTGCTGCAGGTTTCCAGCATTTGCACTTTCATTTTAGTTTTATACTTTTGCCCACAATTTCCAGAAATTCATTTCTGAACCAAACCTCCATCTCTTCCATATACTTGATCTAAAAGATGATCTTTGAGCTCTTGCAAACTATAGTTCACAATATTAATGGACAAACAGCACCTCATGCTAATGACTAAGGTCAAAGAGTGTGCAGTCACACAACAAAGGGCAGAATGGATTTCTAGCTGGTTTCAAGGGAGACAGAAGAGATTGGGAATAAAGGGTCATCATTCAGAGAGCGCCAGAAGGTGGAAAGTTGTATTTTAGAATAGAATCCAGACTGAATAATAATTAAAAAAGGAAAGAACTGC